AGTGATCGTGATTATCATATGAGCCGCGTCACGACAAAACAAACATAATGCGTGTGCGACCAGCATGGATCCAGATGGATGCGCAGGCTGGTCTGGATCCACGCTGGTCGCAAACGCATTACGTTGGTTTTGTCGTGACGCGGCTCATATTACATATACGAGTATATAATTACATACTATTTGATACAGTTTTTAGGCTGAAATACAAAAATTCAGAGTATAATCTTACAATAATGTAGTATTATTACATATCATACACCCGTGACCAAGACATTAACAATTTGACACGTTACTTAATAATATAATTTCCATGTCGCGTTATATTTTTTCTACCAATGCCGGTAATCTGATCATAAATAAGTTAAATTTAATAATGATACCACATTTTGTTATATTTCATGTTAGAATAAAAATATATGAAGACAGTCTCATAGAATATTGAACAGCTCTCGTACATGTATAATATACGTTTTTGTTAAACGGCGAATCATACGTGTTTTATTTTCCTTTAGTTTTAAATGTGTTGGACGGAAACACAATATAATATACGTCCCTTGTCTTTATCTGAATGTTATGTAATAATTCCACTGACAAATTTCAATACTTCACTTAAAAAGTACAATATGAACTGCTTTCATAAGGTGACAGAAGAGTTTTGTCCCCCTGTCACGTCACTGTCACGTATTGTTTCCAAGACATTCGACAAAGCTGATCATATAAGACAGTTCAGAAAAGCTAGATGTATAAGTCTCCTAGACGTCAACTTACTAGGTCAAATCCTCTCTTTAAAACTGATTCTTAAAAGAAGCAGTAGAAGGGTCATTTCACCATTGAACTTCAAAACATGTTCTGGTGTTCAGCAGGGGACTGTCCTTAGTCCTCGTTTCTTTCTACCTTATCAAATCATATTACAAACTTTCCTTCATATGACCATGTAATTTTGATGTTAACGATTTTAGAAATAATATATATAACAACCTTGTATCTTTTTCTATGATAAACAACAACGGTAGTCCTTTTCACTGAGAACAATTATTCATTCATATATTTGTATGCATATGTTTCGTAAATTATCGAAATAAAATGTCACAACCTAGAAATTGTTTAATTATGCTTACCACTGGGTACTCTGATCGCAATGATGACACAATTTATACTGTAAAATTGTGACAACTTGCAATAAATGATACAGTGATCAGAGGTAAAAGTTGTCGTGCAAAAGCTAGATTCTGAGATAATATCATGTTTGTTCTGGGTCAGAATCAGAGGGGAGATATTGCCTATAAACAAAATAGCACATCACATTTCCCATCGCATAGTAGTTAGATACTGTAGACTAATTAAACGGTGCTTGTAATAACAAAAACCCATACACATTGATTTGTACAGACTTGCTGTAAATGATACAGTACAGTGAGATTCTGTAATAAGCAGATAAGTACATACGTATACATGTGACTGCTGTAGTAATAAAAGTTACAATACATCATTAATATACGAAATAAAACAGTAAATAAAAATTTCTAACCTTACATGTTAATTTATCCGTATCAAATACATGACGGTTTTACACTCGTGCCTATCAAGCATAGCGACCGGCAGGAGACATTGAAAAAAGGCCAATAAAATTCATCTGTTGGGTTCTAACATGTATTTTCTCCGGAATTTAGAATATTTTGGGTTTTCCCAGCAGTTCGATTGGTACAAAGAATTTACTGTTACAACTTCGAAAATAAAGAGCACCGGGTTGTCTATTAAGTTGTAAATGGTAGTACAAGTTTGTACTCGGAGGATTAGCTTCTTATAAGGCAAGTTGTTTAGATTTAATTTGGGAGAGGTAATCTCTGCTACAGTTCTTTTTTTTTCAGACAAGAGCATACATCGGAGACATTCTGCAAGCCCCAGATATAGCAATACCGTGAAAGAATTTTAACTTTCCCGTCGGGAATTAAATCTTAACTTTAGTCCGAGCGTGTATAAATTAGTTCAGACACAAGTCGACGCCTGAGTAAAGACATCGCCTAAACAGTGTACTTTACAACCGTAAAATAAGCAAACATTTAAATTTATCTACCATGGCCTTAAAACCATTTGACACAGTTACCCGCTATGATCTATTCTATTGTGTTCTTCGTGGATTACGAAAAATGATGTATAACAAGATTTTATAAGTTTGTCACAAAGATAGTTATTTTTTACCTTTTCGATCTACATGTATATACATACTATAATAAACCAGCCACCGTTTAAACGCGTTGGCTATTTCTTGTTTATTTTAGCTCGGGTATCATGAAATATTGGAAAAGGGTATATACCTATTCCATAAGCTTCTAATCATTCCATATATTTAGGCAGATTCATTGATTTGTATATAAATTTTTAATAATCGACGTCGGCCATTATCAATCACAAACGGACAGGTCAATACAAAACAACGTGATATTTTGGTATCATTTTCTGTTGCTACCGTCTGATGAAAAATGTCACATTCACATACGAAATCGTGCTTTATTTGGTTATTCACATACGAAATCGTGCTTTATTTGGTTATTCACATAAGAAATCGTGCTTTTTTGGTATTCGCATACGAAATCGTGCTTTATTTGGTTATTCACATACGAAATCGTGCTTTATTTGGTTATTCAAATGCGAAATCGTGCTTTATTTGGTATTCACATAAGAAATCGCATTTTATTTGGTTATTCACATAAGAAATCGTGCTTTTTTGGTATTCGCATACGAAATCGTGCTTTATTTGGTTATTCACATACGAAATCGTGCTTTATTTGGTTATTCAAATGCGAAATCGTGCTTTATTAGGTATTCACATACGAAATCGCACTTTATTTGGTTATTCACATACGAAATCGTGCTTTATTTGGTTATTCACATACGAAATCGTGCTTTATTTGGTTATTCAAATGCGAAATCGTGCTTTTTGGTATTCACATAGGAAATCGCACTTCATTTGGTATTCACATACGAAACTGTTTTATTTGTTTATTATCGTGATTTATTTGGTTATTGACACATGAAATTGTGCTTCGTTTGGTTATTCACATAGAAATTCGTGCTTTATTTGGTTGTTCAATGAAAGTGTGCTATATTTGGTTATTCACACACGAAATCGGTCTTTATTTGCATACGAAATCGGGCTTAATTTGGTTTTCCATTTACGAAATCGGGTTTATTTGGCTATCGTTCTTTATAGCAATTTAATAAGTGGCAAAACCTACGAATGAATCTTGACTCGTTTTTTTTGTTACGAAATATATCGTAACTGTGCATTCAAATATACATCAAGTGATATAGTATGCTCGAGGAGTCAGCTTTTAACATCATTTTATTCAAGTAGACATATTAATGACACTTCGTCCCAAAGCAACTAAAAGTGAAGTATGTGCAAAATGAAATGAATAATAAATAATAATATCATATACTAGTAAAATAAATGTTAAGTAAAATATTTTGGTTTCTAACTCGCTGAAAATCCTGCCAAAGTTCTGGTATATTTTTTATCTGATTTAAGTGGGCATTGTATGACATAATTATTTTCTTTCATTTAATAACCCCGAATATGTGAATAAATTTTCATATTCAAACAAAAGAAAACTAACAGTTGTATCTCGTACAAAGTCGGCATATTTCGTTTATTTCCGTGTCACGCTCAGATCAGATTAAGCGTCAATAGGACTAGGAGTAGGAAAATGATCCGGTCAGCTTACCGTTTGTTAAATATTTATTTACAATGGAAACTTAAGAAATATTAATGAATCTACTACAAAAATGTACTTCAAAACATAATACTTATTTGCATTGCCGTAATTTTATTTTCGTCAATAAAATGCCGTCTTTAAACTATCCGTGGACAGATTTCATGTCGATGTTACTATTTTTAAATAAATTAAGTACTGAATATACAAAAAAAAAAAAAAAAACGTTTTCAATAATTAAACGATTTATATACTTATTTGCAACATTTTACTTTATGTTAAGTTATCATTTCCACATCTGAAATCTTACCCATTCACGTATTATGAGTGCGTATTTGAATATTCATCCTTTCTGTGCAAAATTGGGCGTTTACAATTACATTAAAATGACATATTTAAGAAAAATATTTGAAGGTCAACGACCTAGTCCGAGTTAAATATCAGATAATTAGCAACGCATGAACACTTACACTGATCAAATCTGATAGAACTGATATTTTTACGGTACATTTAAAGTCACTCCAACATACGATAGGTCAAACAGTCGTTTTCTAGACCTAGCTCTAATGGTGACAGTTCCATAATCGCCGGTTTTTCCTCGAGTAATAACTATACATAATGACATATTATAGAATAAAATTTGGTTATATTCTTTAAAAAAGAACATCTTTTCCAGTTTCGATAAGAAGTCAAATATTTTGCATGGGTATAACCATTACTAGACCATCATTCGGACATTTATATCACAATGATTTGACGAATTGCAACCTATTTACAAGGTACTAATTTGGTTAGGATCACCATCAAATCTTTTCACCATTTCTTTTTCGGCATAAACAGGATGTGGACATAAACATGGGGTCAATATAAACAGAGTGTCGACATAAACATTGCGTCGACATAAACAGGGTGTCGACATAAACTGGGAACGATATATTTCTAGTTTTGAGCTTAATTGATGACAGATCTATATATGTATTCTCTATTTAATGATAACTACTAGTATTTATATATATATATATATGTGTATATATAGTATACAATTGTCTAAATGCACGTGTTTACATAAATAAGCCTGTTAAAACATGTTCTAAAAATTAAGTTAATTCAAACTCACTTTTTATATATTATTTTGCCGCACACACTTGAAGAGCATTTATTTATAATTGTTGAAAAATATGTCCTAACACTACATTAGAACGCACAAGGTTTAATCGTCCCTTATAGAAATATCAGTGCAATACTTACATACTTTGAATGATATAACAAAAGAATAAAAAAAGACTTCCTTAAAAATTGTAAATTAATCTTTGAAATTACCTTCGTGTTTTTCAAACCATTTGGTTGGAGACAAAGAACTTTAGAAGACATTGATTGTATATTTAATAGAAAGCTAATTTTACATAGTTGGTCAAGGTTTTTAAAGTAAAGTAACATATAATTATTTCCTCCGTAAATTTTTTTATTTGAATTTTGAAAAAGAATACTTTCATAAAACACACATGATCAAAATTCGTGAGAATCTTTCCTCATGGTCGAGTGGTGCATGTACAAAGTAATATTTAGTTTAACTGTTAAAGTTCTATTTGAAATAGTAGAATAATATGTTGCTTATTCTCTTTACATACTTTAACTCATTTATATTAAATAACAGAGGCATTCTATGGTACAACATTTTTTTAGAATCGATCGATTATAGAAATAAAAAAATGTACTGTTAAGAAATTCTTTTTTTTAATAACATATAGCTCTTAACAGTTCACCATCTTGAATGTTTGTAACTTGAATTTCTAGATAGTTGTTTTTTAGATTTCTAGATAGCTGACGGGTTCCCCGGGTTCGATTCCCGGACTGTGATTGATAATGAAAACCTTTAGAACTACTGTCCTTCACATTTTACCTCTGCTGTTGCATGTACATAAGTTATCAGGCCCTTACAAAAGTGATTACAACTAGTACTGGTAAACTGCTTGACAGTCTGTCCTGGAGAGATGCGTCTGCTTATGGCCTTAATCCAGAGGGTAAACTACCACCATAACAACCAGTCTACCACCACCTCAAGAGGACTGGTTCCAGACAGATCAAACCAAAGTGTTATAGCAAGACTTGGCCATTTTCCGATGTTGCATGTCAAGTGAGGAGAAATGAAAACATTTCCATTTAAAACTAGCTCTGGAAAATCCAGAATTAACTATCGAACCAGAAAATAACAGATTTATTACAAATCGATTTAGGTCAAATCTATTATCATATATCGCTGGTAATAGTGCTGATACCAGTATTTATACTATTTATCGTGCTGGAACTGTTATTTATACTGGTAATGGTGCTGGAACCAGTATTTCAAAATATCTTATTTACTAGCGTAAATAAAATTTTGTGATATACAGATTTTAAATAACTATTATACAACCTTACAAAGTCATGTTCATTCGAAGTATACCATACCCCCTTGATATTTTATTCATTTCAATCAAAAACGTTATTTATTTACGATATATTTATATAACTGTTGCAGCGATTTGAAGTACATTTGTCATATCACATTGAATCATTAGTTCTTGTACAATTTGTTGGGTGTTTTATTTAAAGTTTGTATTCAATTTGTTTATTTCTTGCTGTTTTTATTTTTTCTATTAATTTCTTTATTTTATTCTGGGTGCAAGATCAAGATTTAAATCATACACCGTTATCTTAAAGGGAGAGACAGGCAAAAGTTTTGGGTTCTGTAAATGTGCTAAAAACGAATACACTAGGCTGTCACAGGAACAACACTTTTCGCCTTATAAAGAATGAAATGGTGGTTTCCTAACTTGACCCACGTGGGTCAAGTTAGAGCGTTAAGATTTCGTAATAGTTATGACGGTGAACTCTGGAAACTTTCATGAATATGTCAAATGAACGATTTAGACTTGTTTCAATCATACAATATCCCCAATATCTGTTAATGTAACTTCAAGGGGTTGTTCAAGCCATATGACTTGTTTTAAAACTACACGGTGATTCTGGCGGTGTCAAAATTTCGTTCAACATGTATAGATATATTTACACTTCGAACCCAAAATATATAAAAGTTACAAACAAATGTATGCTTGGACTTTAAAAAAATGTCACTTTATTGTGATTAGAGTACATTAGATCGTTTTAATATTAATGTCATTAATTTGCCTGAGTATCCCTTTAACAAAAAATACAACGCTGCGAAATGCCTAAAGTTGAACAGTATATATAATAAAATAGTAAAACACGTACCACTTCAATGTTTCCCATAAAACCAGTTACAACCTCTTCTTTTTTACCTTTTCGAAATATTGACAGTCCTGTATTTTAAATCGGGTTTAAATCAATATGCACATTACTAAAGAAAACGCCTTAAAACGGTATGTTATAATGTGGGAATGTGTTGGGAATTAAAATAGGGTACATGTTTTTGATCGGTATTTTCTATTTACCAAAGTTAAAACCCAGGCATGCGTTTACTATGCTTAAACATGAACCCATGTTTACATATTATCAATATATGCCTTAAGTATAATAAACTTCTTTACTACAACTGTTTACAATATCAATCAAGCTTTCAAATATCAATTTAGAATTTAATGTTTATAGATTTAAGATCATTTTGACTTACCTTTTGTAAATTATTCCTTGTTAATATCCACCCTCAATTCATGTTCAAAACAGTTAAAAAGACTATTATACGTTAAAGATCGGGTGTGTCCGTAGATTCTCGTAATTTATTTATACCCGGAGCAATTTCTACCGTCACTGGTTTTGATACGGTACGATGACCCCCGCTCGATACACCTACAACAAGGCGGCACAAAATAGAACTATGTTTTCAGTATATTTAGCTGACTTATTGATACGTGTGTAGTTTGCTTTTTGACGCCAGAAACTTATCAAGCAAATCTTTGTATTCTGTACCATTTATTTATTTATCAAATAATTAAGTAATTGATTGATTGATTGATTGTTTTATCGACTGATTGATTGATTCATTCATTCATTCAGTCATTCATTTTTAATTAATTAATTAATTTATTTATTTTATATGTTTAATTTTTATTAACTTTTTTTTCAACTTTTTTGAAATACTATTTATTTATATTTTTGTAGCGGAACTAATTAGGTTATTTATATTTACAGTTCCGTTTTTGTACACACTATTACTAAAGCAATTTTTATCGTAAAAAAATGTACAGGCCATATATCATTATTAAGGTCATATAGTGACTCTCAAGCTTCTAAATTGGCGGGAAAGAACCTAACTACTAAAGGCACATTATTCCTCAGAAACAACTTTTTTTATTTCTTTAGAAAGGCCAAATAAGAATTTTATAATGTTTAAATAATGGCATGCTTGATGCTTGTTACCTGAAAAAAGTAACGTTAAATGTGAAATGATTTGTCATAAAGTAGCAAAGTGTAAACAAAGTAGTATATTGACTTCCATACAGAATACTAAATCAATATGAATGCCCTAACTGTCCAAAAGCGACAGATGAAGTAACATTTTGGAAAATATCAAAGTACACTACAAATAAAAAAATAAATAAAAATAAAACAAAATTTAAGCAATAAAAATAACAGCATTAGAATGATATTATAAGTATAAGAATTAGTAAGTCAAAATTTCGAGTAAATAAAAAACACACACTTGACACTGTTCCGTAATAATTGGCATCAATAAATAAAATAATTAATAATTAATATAATGTTTAAATAATGGCATGCTTGATGCTTGTTACCTGAAAAAAGTAACGTTAAATGTGAAATGATTTGTCATAAAGTAGCAAAGTGTAAACAAAGTAGTATATTGACTTCCATACAGAATACTAAATCAATATGAATGCCCTAACTGTCCAAAAGCGACAGATGAAGTAACATTTTGGAAAATATCAAAGTACACTACAAATAAAAAAATAAATAAAAATAAAACAAAATTTAAGCAATAAAAATAACAGCATTAGAATGATATTATAAGTATAAGAATTAGTAAGTCAAAATTTCGAGTAAATAAAAAACACACACTTGACACTGTTCCGTAATAATTGGCATCAATAAATAAAATAATTCGATGACGCACAAGCCTTCAGTTGTGAGAGAAGAGGAGCAGATTAACCCCTTGACTGCTGGTGACAACTTATTCTTCCGGTGCGACCACTGCAGATAAAGATCAGCCGGTTCTTCAAGTACGACCAGTGCAGGCGAAGATCAGCCAATTCTTCCAGTGCGACTATTCTAGATAAAGATCAGCCGTTTCTTCCGGTGCAACCAATCCAGACAAAGATCAGCCGGTTCTTCCGGTGCGACCAGTCCAGACAAAGATCAGCCGGTTCTTCAAGTACGACCAGTGCAGGCGAAGATCAGCCAATTCTTCCAGTGCGACCAGTCCAGACAAAAACTAGCCAGTTCTTCCGGTGCAACCAATCCAGACAAAGTTCAGCCAGTTCTTCCGGTAACCAGTCCAGACAAAGATCAGCCGGTTCTTCAAGTACGACCAGTGCCAGCGAAGATCAGCCAATTCTTCCAGTGCAACTATTCCAGATAAAGATCAGCCGTTTCTTCCGGTGCAACCAGTGCAGGCAAAGATCAGTCGGTTCATCCGGTGCGACCACTCCAGACAAAGATCAGTCGGTTCTTCCGGTGCGACCACTCCAGACAAAGATCAGCCGGTTCTTCCGGTGCGACCACTCCAGACAAAGATCAGCCGGTTCTTCCGGTGCGACCACTCCAGACAAAGATCAGTCGGTACTTCCGGTGCGACCACTCCAGACAAAGATCAGTCGGTACTTCCGGTGCGACCACTCTAGACAAAGATCAGTCGGTTCTTCCGATGCGACCACTCCAGACAAAGATCAGCCGGTTCTTCCGGTGCGATCACTCCAGACAAAGATCCGCAGGTTTTTCCGGTGCGACCACTCCAGACAAGATCAGTCGGTTCTTCTGGCGCGACCACTCCAGACAAAGATCAGTCGGTTCTTCCGGTGCGACCAGTCCAATGACAAGTCGGCACATCCATGTTTTGTATGATCATAGTCTGCACTTTTCAATCAGTAAATATTATTGTTTATAAAATATGTCCCTAAAAATGAAGAATGGTTTTGTCCAGATAGTAAGACGGACAAGTCCTTTTAAAGTATTTAGCGAATTAAGGGAACATGTAGCCGAATAAAAATACAATTCACCATAAAATAACATACGAATTTACCTAGCCTTTTATAAATAACCTATATAAAACCAGTAATGGTCCGATCAAATATGTGATTATTTTTGCATAATGTATTTTACAACCCGCACTCGTGATACGGCTGATGGAATTTCATTATGATTTCACTATCAGCGTTTAACAGTCAATAAAAACACGGAAAGCTCTCTTTTTTTTTTATAACAATAGTATATTAACTTTTCTGGCATCTTTTTTATGTATTTTTTTAATCTTTATTTCAATGGCTAATAAATTGCCAATTTTATAAATATAGGCGCAATTATTTCTTGATTTACTTACTAAATAACAATTGTTTTGTAACACATGCAATGCTATATTTTTCAAAATAAGCATTACTGTCCAATCTGACCTAAAGACCATCTCGCTATATTAGCCATCGCGACACATGCACACGCACCGAGCACGCTCGCTCGCACGCATGCACGCACGAACACACACACATAACGAAAACAACGAAAACACGAAATAAATAGTGTGAAAAACTCGAACACGACAGTGAAAACTCGAAATAATTTTGATTTTAAACAATCGTACTTTCGAACTTACACCGTCGTAGTTTCGTTGTCACCCATTGTTATGATCTCTGTGCGCATGCCAGACAGGAAGATGAAAGTACGATGGTGAAAATTCAAAATAAGGAAACACCAAAACTACCATGGGGAAATGTCGAAAGTAGGATGGTGAATATTCGAAATAACGAAACAACAAAACTACGATGGGGAAGTGTCGAAAGTAGGATGGTGAAATCGTAGTTTCATTATTTCGACTTTTTTACAATCATTTAACTGTCGGTTTTCATACTCGTATGTTCGACTTTTACCATGATCGTGGTTTCTTTGTTTCGACTTTACACCATAGTACATGTAATTTCTTGTTTGCACTGTTTCGATGTATGTGTATGTGGAACTCAATTTTTGTAGGGTTGATATTAAAATCCCTTAAATTTCAAAGCAGGGCAAGTACATTATACAAATTCAGGAGGTTAAAGGTTACGAAACTAGACTTTTTCTCATATACCAAGACATACCTCTATGTACAGGTTGGTCTGTATATTATATTGTTGTTCTTCTTTTTACATTACATCATTAAATATGCATACATAATAAAATCAGTCAGTAAAACTTTTTACTATGTTAATATGCGTCTCCGTTTAAGATACAAAAGAAAATGCTATATATTTTAGATAACAATCTTCTTTATAAAAGAAACACCTGAAAAAGCAGATGTTAAAACGCTTACCCAATCTAAAAAAAAGAACCAAAAAACCCCCAAAAAACACAAAAAGACAACAACAATAGCAGCATCAGCAGCAAAAAGAGCAACCCCCTACAGAAAAAAATATAACAAAAACAACAACAACGAGAGAGAGAGAGAGCAACCGCCTAGCGGGGGTCAAGCCGGACGTTTTCTTAATTATAAAGTCACAGCAGATCAAGAATATTAGTAAAGAATACACCTACAAAACATACGTTTTATGTAACAAAAGAAATTCAAATTTCATATTTGACCTTGACGGTCAAGATCAATTAAAGAAAAGGTCACATTTGAATTAATCATTATATCAGTTTTGTCATATGTGTTCTTTTGTCTTTTGTCCAAAAATGATTCAAATCCATAAATTAAAACGAAGTTATGACCATTCAAACACATTTCAATAATTTAACATTGGTAGTCAAGGTCAAATAAAGGTCAAAGTCATATCAAAATAATTGAACATGTCTGTTCAACCGTTATATATTGTCAAAGTATGAATCAATCTGCAAGGAAGTGTCTGTTATGAAATGTTCAGCAATTTAAATAATTTTAACTTGAAATTCAAACATTTGACCTAATTTGACCTTGCAGGTGACTGTCAGTCATTATGAGTCAAGGTCAAGTTAAATCTGGCCTACTTGAAGGTTTTGCCCAAGGAATTGTTGGGTATGACAAAAATCAATTTAAAAATAAAAAATAACGGTCAATGTTTTCGGACGGCATCGACAACCGGAATGGGCGCCATGACTAGCTATACCTCGATTGTTCTTTTGAAACTGTTTATTATATCAATTTTGGTAAGTAAATATTAAGATGAAAATTTAAAGTGAATTGGTCTATAACGAAAGGTCTGTAATAAAATGAATAATCACTCTCATAGTATTAACATATAACTACATACCACGAAAGAGTTATACATTGAAGTTGTTAGCAAGTGTGATATTCACGATCCGACATCACATATATTTATTAAGAACGGCTAATAAAATGTTCGCGAACATAATATTATTATTCCTCATATAATTAATTTAAAAATTGTTCACTCTACATGACTTAGAACTTTATTAACTTTTACAAGCAACATTCTAGAACTTTATTAACTTTTTACAAGCAATATTTCATAAGGATATCCTTTGTATTTTTGTCAATATTTCAAATAATTATGGAAAATGTACCTATTCTAGACCTGCCCACTTTAAAGTAAATCAGGCAACAGTATAGAACATATTCTGAGTAAGAATGTGCAGACTGGCCTAGCTCTATACTAGTGGCAACATCTAATGACTAACGGGTCCGGCAGA